AACATTTATTTAAAGTTGATACATTATTATGTGTACGTTTAATGAATGTCGGTATGTGTGTATGCCATTGTAAACTGTATGTCAAAACGGAGATCAATAAAAATAATAGAGGACTCTTTACCTTGGAAAGACTACGAATGGAAGAAAGCGTTGAAGGCAGATACGCACAGCCGTAAGCTATAAACAACGGTGCTAATGATGAACATACGAAAATGCAAAAAGGTTTTGATTAAGGGATGATTTATGGCAGTAAAAAGTAATGAAAAGTGGTTTATAGGAGTTAGATGGGGTGGAGTTGGGGGTTGGGGGAAGCAGGGGGGGGGATTAGTTTTCTGAGGTTTAATTATTAGTTTTATACCTGACCAGGAATTGATGTGTGTGTATGTGTGTGTGTGTGTGTGTGTGTGTGTGTGTGTGTGTGTGTGTGTGTGTGTGAGTGTGCGTTTGTAGTATGGGTTTACGTATTTAAAAAATAATTCAGGTTCTGGGAGTGACTTGTGGTTTTCTTTAATCACAATGAACGAGCTCACGTAAAAAAAATAATCACCTTTCTATGACGTGAAAATGAAATGAAGTTCACGATTCCACAGTAACCGAATCAACATGACTAGCATGATTGATGTAAAAGCAACGATCCTGAAGTTTAAAAACCTTTTAGAAAAAAGTGGACTCCAGAAAGTGGATGTGTTTTAATGTTTCGATCATTTTTTTTTCCTTTGATAATTCCACCCAACATTTATAATGAAAATAAACTTTTCATGAAATTGAAGAAGGGCACATACTGGCTGATAAGATATGTTTTCATATTGCAATTATTAGCAGTTATCTAAGAAAAATAAATGTCAATGTTTTCATGCTCTTAGGATAATCGCATCAGAATATTTGACAATACAACTGCATCCTCGTCCTTTCCAGCTGTTTGGAAAAGGATGTTAAAATTGTTTTGAACTTTATGATCGGAATACGAGACGTATCTTTATCTTTATAATCTGTACATATCATATTGGTGAAAGCTCGTCACTTTGGCCGCCTAAAACTTCCGAACTGCTTAACTTTCGAATTTGACAAAATTAATGGTGGTTCAGAATCATTTAAATGGTGCACAACAGTTTTATTGATGAGCCTGGAGTCACTGTAGTTTAATTTCCCGTTTTTCATTAGTTTCGTTTAGATCTATCTTAGGAAAGTCCGTATTCACACAACGGGCAGTCGGGTGGGGTATTCTTGCGGTTCTTAGGTATAAATTCAGTGGGATGTGTTGTGTTCGCAGGCGAAAGATAGTGACTTGTTCTCTTCTTCTTATGGAATTTAGTGCATCTTTTGAGTTGGAAGCAGTCATATGTGAAATAGCCTATATATTTAAGAAATTTAAAAAAAAGCTTATTAAGACAGGAAATATCTAGACGCCCAGTGTGAGTTTCCCATCTGATAAAGGACACCGTGCTCTCTGCCTTTAAGACCTAACCTGTATACCAGAAGCTGGAGGGGGGGTCTCGTGGCCTAGAGGTTAAGGTGTTGGCCTCTCATTCAAAGGTCCCGGGTTCGAATCCGGGTAGCGACCGAAAAATTTTCTTCTCTAAAATTGTCTCCTTTCACATCCTTTCCTGCTCTCTACCAATGTTCTGTTATCTGCTTTCATTTCCTCTTTCTGCCCCCACCCCTCACCTCATTTGCCCCTCCTCTGGGCTCCTGACTCTTTCTGCAGCCTTTCTACTGCTACTCCTTGGCTCCTCCTTACTGCTGTCGTTCTGTAACACCCCTGGTCTTCTGGTAGGAAAGATCTACACCTAGCCTTCTCGGACAAGGGCGAAAAATCTCGGAGGGCCCGTGTGCAAGTTGCGCACGTTAAAGATCCCTTGGTGGTG